TTAAGAGTATCACCTCAATGTGCATCCATTTAGCTATAAATGTCTCTAATTTCTCATTTTTTATGGCTGAGTAGTACTCCATTTTATAGAAAACCCACATTTTCTTTATCTAGTCTCTAGTTGATGGGCATTTGGGCTGTTTCCAAGTTTTAGCTGTTACAAACTGTGCCACTATGAACATGGGTGCACATATATCACTGTGGTATGATTCTTTTAACTCTTTGGGGAAGATACCCAGCAGGGGAATAGCTGGGTCATCCTTAATTATTAATTATTTGAGGCTCTTTTCATGTGCTTATTGGCCATTAAACAAATGTCTATTCAATTCCTTTGTCCACTTTTAATTCAGGGTTTTTTTTAATTGTTTTTGAGTGGAAGAGACCTTTTATGGGCAGTCTGATGTGTGGTAGGCATTGGGGGAAGATCATTTAACAGGTAGAAATGGTTCCATCATTCAGATAGTCCCAGAGATTCAGAGCACAGGCCTAGTAGAAGCAGAAACATGGAAGTGCAGAGTACAGAGCATATTCAGGCTTTTTCTAGCCATTAGGCTTTGTTGGGCCATAAAGCACCATAGGGGTACAGCCAGCATTGAGGTGGGAAAGCAAGGTTGCCCTCCACCCCTGGTGGAGAGCTAGAGTGTTCCACAGGAAGCAATCAAAGGTAAAGACCTTTCTCCAACATACAGAGCTGCCCTTAGCAAGGTTCCTACGGTGCTTGGGGAACATGGAATGCAGTTAAGAGAAGTTTGCTAAGAGATTCAAGAAAAATCTTCCGCTGAGATTAGTTCTAAGGTCACAATGTCAACTGAAAATCATGTTTACTTAAAATAATCATTGGAAAATTCCCAGCACAGTACATGTAAGTGTTCAGCATGCCATCTCCACCTCCATCCCAGAAGGTGTCTCTCGTACTCACTTCAGCAGCACATATACCAAAAGGTGTCCTCTCAGCTACATCCCAGATAAGCTTACTGCCTTGACTTCAGGCCCACATCATGCAGAAAGTGCCCATATTTACTACTGGAGTCACATTTGGCCCACAGAAGTACACACATTGTATGAAAAGGGCAAGAACTGACGTGTCTTGAGGTTCCTCTTGTGGTGCTTTGAGCCACAAGTCATCAAGTACCTGATAGTCATAACCTCATTAGTGAAAGTATTTTAGCAGTTCATATAATAATAAGCATGAACAGAGGTGTTACACGGTTAATGCAGTTCTGTAGGCCTTCCCTTTGTGGAATAGAAAGGCTATGGCAGCCACAGCCTCTATACCACACTGTCCAGGGCAGGACAGGCAGGAAAAGGCCACTGTTGTCATTGCTCTTTCATCATCTGGGGAAGTTTATCCCAGAGACCTGCAAGTACTTCTTCATTTCATGGGACAGAAGGTCACATGCCCACATTTGAGTGATCAGTGACAGAAGGAGTGCGAACTTCATGGTAGGTGCAGTGCTGTGGTTCCTGTCTGTGCATCTTGTCTCTGAAAGAACAAAATCAGGGTTTGCTAGCCAGGAAAAAGGGGGTCCCTATGCTGAAGGAAGAATCAGCAGGTTCTTTTTGATCAGCTCATACAGTAACATCTGCTTATGGACAGTGAACCTAAATCATTTCTTTTCAGCCTACATTTTATTTTATACTTGTTATTATTTTATTGACTCAGTAAAGCTAGCATGTACAGATGAATTCGCATGGGTCAGATGCCTATGAAATGAAGCTTCACTGACCTAATTTTGGAATTGATACCTCCAGATGTCTCACCTGGGCTTAACCTCAATCTCTGGGCATGAAGTACCCTGCCGTTCCTTTGGCCTGACTGGAGTCTAGCTCCACCCATTGACCATGAACCTCCAGGATCTATCGTGTTTTATCCTGGGGCCAGGCTGCTCCTTCCCTGAACTGCTGGCAGTTTCCCTGGTCCAAGTACAGGGAACACAGGCTTGTGGCCTACAAATTCTTACATTGCCATTTGTCACAGTGGCCTTGCAAAAAAAAAATTAGCTAAAGTATAGCAGATACATTAGTTCTTTTGAAATCATAGAAGCAAATTAACCTTGTTGCTAGTTTTCAAATTCATCCAGTGTCAGCTTTCTGTCACAAAATACCTGAGAAAAACAACTTAAGGAAGAAAAGTTTATTTTGCTAACAATTTCAGAGGTTTCAGATCATGGTCATCTGGCTCCATTTCTTTTAAGCTTGTGGCAAACCAAAAACATCATGGTGGAAGGGTGTGGTGAAGGAAAGCTGCTCACCTCATGGTAGTCTGGAAGCAGAAAGAGACAGCCCAAGAGAAGGGTTTGGGGACAAAATACAGCCCCTAATGGGATGGTCCCTTGACTAACTCACTCCCTTCAGCTGGGCCCTACCTCCTCTAAGTTTCCATTACCTCCTGATAATGCCACCAAATATGATTTTGTGAATGAATCCACTGATTAAATTAGAACCCTCATGATCCAATCACCTTCCTCCAAATGCATCTCTGAACACTGGAGACTTTTGAAGGATATTTTAGAGCCAAACTAATACACAAGTCAAGTTGTCATTTTGTGGGAGGGAACCTGGTGCAGGGTCAGCTGGAGTGTTGTGTTTAACTTGCTGAGATATGTACTGGGCTTCTTAGACCAGCCCATCCTAGCCACAAATCAGTTGGAAAACTGGCTCTATTGAATCCCTAATTCTGTGTTGTACAGGGCAGGATGCTTCAGACAAATGGTGGCTTCATTTGATTTGTTCTTGTGAGGAAAGATGGAATTTGTCATCAATAGAGGTATCTTGACACAGGATTAGCACATGTGAATACTACTTCCTGATTGTACACATAAAGTTCCATCATCTCAAAAAAGTATTAGGAGGCAGAATCTTCAGGTGTCTTAGTTTATCTTCACAGCACCCCCATCAGGGAGCTTTGGTTTATTTTTATTTTATATGGGCCTGGAAGGCTGGAGCATGTGAATGTCAAATTCCCATCCCAGAGGTCCCCCAAGTACAAGCACAGGTAACTTCACTTCAAAGCTAGTGGAAATGTCCCATGTCTGTCACTGAGTGCACATATCCTCATGTTCATGCAAAACATTAGCCTATGAGTAGGCTTTGGGGGGCCATGGACAAAGCATTTTTTTGTGTGTGTGAGACTTAATAGTGGATTTGAAAGCAGTAACTGAGGAATGAAACAAAATAAAGTTTTTCTGTTTAAGACTATAGAGACTACAGTTGTTACTATGAATTGCCCACCATTCTGGCCTAATTGCCAACCTACAACAATAGCAATTATGCATACTTTTAAATATATGTTAGATGAACTCAGTTAAAAACTTTAACTATAGCCCCAAACCTGGCTCATGTCTACTCAGACTTCTCAGATTACTGCCCAAATTTGTAGTTATCTCCTCATCACAATGGCAGTCTGCTCAGAGCTCAGTAAAGAAAAGAAGATGGGCTGTTTTGCTTATAATTTCTAGAGGAAATTATATTACACACAACTGGCAAGAGTGGCTCTGTACTTGGTTGTTTTGTGCCCAGTAAAAATCTCAAGCAAACACCTACCCTTGAGCTTTGAAGCTCTGTGTCCTCCTCTGCTGTGATTCACTGTGACTCACTCATCTCTTCTGCCTTCCTGCAGAGCCTGGCCAAGTTTCCACCTACCTTGTGTTTCAGGGGCCCCTTGGTGTCCTCCTGTGCCTTTGAGGAACTTGGTGGCAAGGGAAGCTTGTTTTCTTTTGGGGTGAGTAAATGAACAAACAAGCTAAAATAAAGTGGTCTTCTTTGTTAGAATTTTTAGATTTCATTATAGGGCTGATACTAAAATTCAGTCTAAAGTAAACTGGCTGAATTATAGGGACTACACTGATAGTAGCACAGAAGAGACAGCTGTCACCCTATATTCCTCGCAATTTTTCCCTCTGTCAGAATCTTCCCAGCTTACCTGAGGAGGAACAGACCTTGAGAAGCTCCCCAGAGGAAGTGGACCGTTAGTGTTGCAGCTATTAGCCTGGCATAATTGGATGAAAGTGACCACAGCACTCAGAGCAGGGTGGGAAGTGTTTGGTAGAACAGACATATAGAAGGGGTTTGAGAGTAACAATGAGGCTAGGACACAGGCCATGACCAGGTTATAACGGGCTATGGATGTCATGCTGAGGAATTTCAACACTGTCCCTAACGCAAAAGGTGGGGAGGTAGATTAAGCAGGGGACCAGATATTCATGCTGAAAGACCCCAGGACTAGCAGTGGGAAGGATGGATTAGGGGAAGTGAAATTAGAGATAGGAGGTAGGTAAAGAGTAGATTAAGACCCAATTGAGAAATAATGAGCCCCAATCCAATGACTGTGAACTTTGAGTGAGGGATGGATAGTGAAGATATTGCAGAGGTAGAACTGACAGGCTCTTGAAAGTAGGGAGAGGGAAGAGCCCAGTTAGCTGCCAGGTTTGGGGTTTGGGCACTAGAAGGGCCATGGTGCCATCCCCAGCTGTCATGAACAGTTGTTTCTGCATTTTATCCACATGGGGAAGCCCCAGGGCTGTAGAGGACATGGGATTGCTTTTTCAATACTAAATGTGGCTTATTGTCCACTGCTGATCTGGAGCAGAGGTCCTGTGCACAAAGCCCTGGGCAGAGGCCAGAGGAGGACAAAACAAACAAACAAAATCAAATGCTACCTCTAAAGTGGGAATCAGGACTCAAGATCCTAGCATGGAGCCCACCCAAAGCAGTGACCTAATTTATGGAATGAGAGGAAACTTTAAGTTCAGACAGAAGCTGACATCCCAGCTGGGAGACAGAAACCCTCAAGGGATGAACACTCTGGGAAAACCAGGACATGCCCAATACTGAAGGCAAGAATGGAAGAGTGGGGAGTGAACAGGCCAGCAGCTCTGACTTTTTAATTTGGGGGTGTTTCTTTCTTAGCTGCGTCCACCTGCTTCAGCCTCGACCCTGCTGTGAAGAAACTGTTGTTCTCTGGCTCCCATTTTGACCTACTCTTCACTTTAACCTTGTCCCTCAAAGTGGATATTCCTTCCTTGCTGCATCATACTCCATGGGATCCAGGCCCACGGTGTACTAGAAAAGAGAGGGGTCTCAGCAACATAGAAGAGTGAGTATATCATGTTTATGTGGTCTGAGGAGGGGCCACTGGGTTCCAGGGAAGCCACCAGGGGAAGCTCCACAGGAGAGGTGGCGTGGAAGAGACCTTTCCAGCACATGAAACAACAGCACAGAGACCCTAGGAAGCAGAAATGGTCATAAAACACATCAGAGAATGTGAAGTGACTGCAAATCCACTCCCCAAGGATATGGATCCTGAGGAGAAGGTGCTCGGGAGACAAAGGGAAGCAGAGCAGGGAGTGAGTCTCCAACTCCTGCTGCCAGATAAAGGACATAGCCTAGTAAATAAAAGCCAGGTCGGCCCAAATGCCCAGATTTTACACAATGCTTGGGGTGTGGGAAACCCCATAAGTTTATCACATTAGTTTGAGATGTTGAGCCTAAGTGTTAAGACTAGTTATCTGTTTAGCATATCGAGATTAGATTGGAGTCCGGCCAGTTTGGAGGCAAGGAGGTTATTCGAGTTGCTCTTGCCTTAGCAAGTATGGGAGACTTTGTTGGGCCAGGTGGGAGCTTTCTAGCCCACGTTGACTGCCCCCTTCTGGGAACCGCATTGTACACTGGCATGGACTCCAGTGACCATGTCTGTGCCATGGGACCCTGTCCATGTTGGGACCATGGCACTGACCTGCCTCTGGTGCACCCTGAGGTCTCATATCAGCTCTTCCTTTATTCTGTGAGATAAGTGTCCATGCTCTTTTACTGCTTTGGCTTTCGTAAGGAGTGGGACTAAGATACCCAGCGTTTGTTTTTCTCATTTGAAATAAAAATACTTTAATTAATACAATAATGTAATGGAATCCTATAGCAGAGGGCTCTCATTCGCAATGGAAAGTAAAGATCTTATCTAGGGAATATTGGCCATCCTTGGAGAAAGGAGGAATGAGGAGATATCATAACTGAGTGGCTCATCTTAATCATGGATAACTAGAAAAATGATGGGATCTTTTTCAGAAAAAGAGTAGAGAGAGCCATGCAGGGTTGGATGTGACTTATGTTTTGAACATAGGGAAAGGAAAGGAGAACCTCCTATAAGTCAGCCCCTGTTCGAAGTGTTCTTTGTGGATCAGTTCCAGTAACCTTGATAACAGTTCTAGGAGGTTTATGTGATTGTCTCTGTTTTCCTTATGGACTGCTGAAGCTCAGGATGGTTGGTAAACTCACCTGGGTAAGCACAGGCTATTCACCAAATGTTTCTGGCTCTCTACCTTCAGCACAGAGTTGGACTGTACTTTCTAGCACACTGTATTAGGAGGGTGGGGTCTGTGGAAGTAACTGTGCTAATTTGGGAGCAAGTGTAAAATTGCTACCAAGGACCTTCCAGAGCCCTCGTTTTCTTTGCTGCAGTGGCAGACTGTAATTCAGTAGTGGTTAATCTGTTGTCTTTAGTTCTAGGTTGAGGAACAAAAATGACACAAGAGCAGAGCTCCAAACCACCATGGAATGGATATGAAATATGAACATGAAATCAATTTTTATCATTTAAACTACTAAGATTCTGGGGTTGTTTATTAATGCAGTTCACCTGGGTTCTTCTGACTGATAGTATGGTCACTTGGGGTCACTTAGTAAGTACTTACATCTACTACTGGCTTTGCTTCCATGTCTATCTAGCTTGTTATCAGGCTCGTGTCAAGTGGACATCTGTGGACCTGTAGGGGCCCACAAGCAAGATCAATCCTAGGGCTGTAGATTTAGATTTTGGCATCATTGGCACAAATGTGATAGGAAAAGGTTAGAAAGGTATTGGGATTCAGTCTGTGGGCTTGGGGGTGAGGCCTCTCTCTCTCTCTCTCTCTCTCTCTCTCTCTCATGTTCTTTTTCTCCCCCAGGTTTATGACCACCTCCACATGGCCTGCTGGTAAGTTGGACATCACTGTACCCTGCAGAGTCTGGTGGTCCAGAGATGTTGGCTTGAGCTTGTTGACAGCTGCACAATCATAACATTGCTAAAAACTTCATAAACTCTGAAGCCTGGAAATAGCCCAATTGACTTGAGGTTTCGCTCACTTGTAAATGTTTGAGTATTGTGTCCACAAATTGTGAATTGAGTAACTCAATTTTGAGGCACAGCTGTTATTTGGAAAAGACCCATCTAGGAATGCAAGCTCCTTGCAAAATGATTGTGCTTCATTTTGTCAAGTATCAGAAAACCATTAAACTGCCAAGCCATATGGCAAATGCCCACTTGAAGCAGAGTACAACAACACACCATAATGAATCTGTTTTGGGGGGGATACAGATAGGACAGACTCTGGTTTTTCTGATCTACAGAGAAGCAGATTTGCTGCTGCACATTTCAGACTTCCAGATTCCTGAGTAAGGATTTTTTTTCTCCCATGAAAAATTCATATAAAAAATTAAGTTATGGTGGATTTTTTTTCTTTAGGTGTGTATTCTGTTTCAAACAATATGCATTTGAGGCACTGCATATAAAATAGACTTAACTGGGGCAATAGAAACTTCCAAAAGTTTACATACTTTTTCATTTATTTATATACTGCTTCAATAAACATTCGTTAGATGTCAGTATATAAGTTAGAATTAGGTTCAGCTCCATATCATAGAAAACAATGGTGGCTTAGAAGAGTTCCAGTATTTTTCCCCCAGGTACAGATACCTGGAGGTAGGCCACCAAGCACTGGTATGGCAGTTTCTCTTCGTTTATTCTGTGTCAAACGTGGGTTTGTCCTTGTCCTCAGTATCCATTAGAGCTGCTATGCTCCAGTCATCACATTCTGGGCAGAGAAGTGGTAAAGGGAGAAAGGCATGCCTTTCTCTTTTAAAGAAAATTCCCAGAAGTATCACATAACTCTCTGTCCACAGCTCACTGGCCAGACCTTAGTCACATGCCTCACCCTGATGCCAAGGAGACAAGGATTCTGTGCCTGTAGAGGAAAGGAAGTCTGCTGGGGGCAGGGTGGGGGGGGGGTTGGTTCACCAGCAGACTCTGCCCTACCTGAGGTCTGGACTATTCATTCCTCCTGCCAGATTGTAACCTTGAGAGATTTTAACCTTGAGGACAGGAGCAGGTTTTGTTTCTTCCTCTGCCTCTAAGGCATTAGCACAGAAGCTGGAAAGTTGTGACTTTAATTATGTGTTACTTTGCCTTCCTCACAGCAGACCCCAGACACTTCTCATCTCCTACCCATTCTTCCACTTGCTTTGTTCCCAGTTGGCAAATTGGCTGTGATTTAGGGCATATTATTTGTTCATCCTCAAAAGACGCTATTTGTACCAGAATGACATGACACTACCTGTCCCTCTTTCTCTCAATATTGACTCTTATTCATGCCCATGGACAAGTGATGCTTAGAGCTGAGTCGCAGCAGTGGAGTGTGGGGTTGGCCTTCCTCAGGAGGACATGGCGACATTTCCCAGGGCTGGTGTGCATGACCTACCTGACAGCAGGAGGATGCTGAGTAGGTACCCAGGGCTGCCAGGTTTTTATCATGGGTGACTAGAAAAACTGTGGGAGTCTTTTCAAACAAAGTGAACAAGCATCAGAGAGCAGGTATAGGGAATGGCAGATTTTATTTTTAACATAATGAAAGAAAAGTGAAAGGAGGTAGGATTTCTGGAGAACTCCCTGTGGCCCAGATACTGTGCAGGGGTGTCAGCTCAGTTATCCTCATGAGCATTCTGAGAGATAAACATAACTGTTTCATTTTCCATGGGCCTCACTGAGGCCTAAAGAAGGTGACGAGGCCTTTTACCGGGATGCAAGCACAAATCCTTCCCTCCTAGGTGTGTTGGGAGAATGAGCCTTGACCTCTGAAGGCTTTTTCAGCACAGCACCAAGCCTGTCACTCCACTTACTGCCACAGCCGAAATTAGTCCCAGACTCACGAGTATGGGCTTTCAGGGGACTTCTTCCACTTCTCATGCTCCTTCAAATCTTCCGAAAGTTCTCAGAACTAAAGAGCAGGCTGCTTGCTTTCTTGGGAGTCTCATAATTAGGATGAGTGCTTAATTGGCATGTTTGTTTCCTCCAAGGGGTAGCTGGTGAGGATCTTTACACTGATAAAAAAAGACTTGCATTGCTTTTGTTCTTAGCAGCACTATGTGCCCATAGCAACAACGGGTGAATCCAATAAAGTTGAAAAGAAAAAGTACTGGAGTTTTCTCGAAGATTGATGGCCCTGAAGAAGTTGACATAGTACAGGTGGAAATGATTAGCCTGGGTCCTGAAAAATATGGTAAACTCCACAAATACGAACTGTGTCTCTTGTTTTCTTTGAGATGAGGAATCTGGCCAAGGGGCCTGTGTAATGGACAATGTTTGCAGGCTCCATTTCCATTCTGCCTGAAGTCATCTGCTTTATGTCTATAAAAAACAGGGATGTTTGCAACTGCATTCCCAGGTCTGGCCCATTGGAGGCGCCCACCACAGGGAAAGGTAAACTGACTGCCTCCAAAGCAATGAGCATCTGCACATTACACCTGCAGTGAGGGCTCCTCACCTTCCCGGCTTGCCTTCCTTTCTGTGTCTCTGTGAGACAGAACTGAGACCATGTGGGCATTGGCCAGCACCACATTACTTGCAAGCACGGAGTGATGTGAGCCATAGAAAAGGCCTCCTTTAGGAGACTGGGATGACCGACCTTCACCAGGCAGGACAGGGGCAGCTGGAGCCATCCTGTGGTTCCTTGCTGCACCCTCCTAGAGCATGTGAGTGCTCTTTCTGAAACAAAATCTGATTAAGGCAGGCCCCGGGCTTCATCCTTCAGAGACTTCTCTTTGCCTAGGAGGAAATCTAAGCTCCTCAGTCCTTGGAGCGGTGAGATCTTCACACACTTCAACTTCATGCATCAGCTCACACCTACCCATGTGCCACACTGACATCTTCTCCTTCATTCCACAGCCTCGGCTGCTTTGTTCTGGTGGTTTCCAGGCCACATAACTGTTCCCCATGCCTGACTCAGGCCTCATTGTCCCCTTCTCAGTTCCTACTCCCCTCCCGCCACAGCTCGAAGGCTGCTCTGAAAGCCTGCCCCTAGGTGCTCTGACAAATCAGCACATACTTAGTGGCAAGAAACAGCATGCATCTCTGTGCCTTGGGGAAGAGGCACAGTGTAAAAAGCAATGACAGTTCTGTTGTTGATGAGAAGAAAGTAACAGTGTAGCATTAGCGTGGTGGGAGAAAAGAGTATGGGCTAAATATTCCAAGGAGAAAACCTTGAATAGTTCTACAGGTCTGAAGTATGCTGTGAAGGTGGGGAAGGCCGGTGTACCTTGTGGAGGTTCTTCAGATGCCATGTCCTTGCCCCACGTGGCATCTAGAGACCTCTTACATTGTTTGATGTGCGGCCCTTCCCAGCACCTTCTCCCTTCTCTGATCACTGCTTCATCCATGCATCATCTCTTGCTGTCTGACCCTCCTGCCTCCCTCCTACCTCCCTCCTACAGGGACCTTCGTGATGGAACCCAGGAGACCCTTCCCATTTCAAGACCCTTTGTGTATTCAAGACTTCTGCACAGTCTCTTGTACCATGCAATGTAACATATTCACAGATTCTGAGGACTAACGTGGCCATGTGGGCACTGTCATTCTGCCTCTTGCAGAGGTGTTAAGCTCTGGGCCTTGTCCTGTGGCAGTTCCATGATGAATTTCCCATCCTGCAGATGACTGGAAGCTCTGTGAGGACAAGGGCCACATCTCCTTTGCCTTCCCTGGTACCCCAGTGCCCAGCAGAGGGTCTGGCCATTAGTAGATACTACTTAATAAACAGTTTCCCAGTGGCTACAGGGCAAGCAGGCAGTGCCAAAGGTCTGGCTGTGGTGCAGATACTAGATGGTCTCTGGAAACTTCCACTGTCACCTTTTCAGAGGAGCAGGCTAGCACCTGGGAAGGGGGATCTGGAAGGAGCTGGCTGGACTCTGCTGGCACAATGGCAGCCTTCGACTTTTCAGTTCTCCAAGGCATGGGAATGACCTGGACTTATTGTGCAGGAGGCCATGCAGCTCTGCTGATGGGATCATGGCATTGGAGATGGTGCTGCAGGGTGGCTGTCTTGTTTGATTTCATTCTGAATCAGTTGCAAGGGTTTAGGGGGAGGAGTCTTCGGTGCCCTAGGAAATGCAAAGGTCAGTTTCTGTCTCTGGAAGGCCCAATCTCAAGAAACAGAACCACAGAGAGGAGGTAGCTGTTAGTTGTGTGACAAAAACATGTGGTAGAGACGGGCAATCACCCTGGGCACGGTCATAGGAGGTGAGGGGACAAAGATGAATGGGAAACCACCTGCTAGGATTTACCTTCTACATGGGGAAAAAGCAATGACAGTTCAATGGTTGATGAGAAGAAAGTAATAACATGTGTAACAATACAGCATTAGCATGGTGGGAGAGGAGGGTATCGGCTAAATATTCCAAGGAGAAAACCTTGAAGATGGATCGCCAGGGTGGCTTGGTGAGGGAGGCATTTCATGACAGTGTTTACAGAGGAGCTGGATGAAATGCTGGGTGGCTGACTATTAAGATGAAGAGGAAAGAGCTCAGAGCTAGCCCAGGAGAGCTTTGTCTCCAGTTTAATGGAAAATTCCAGGAAGGAATTCTCAACTTATTAAATCCTTCAGCAGCAATTATTGCCCACTCTGTGGGCCTCCATTAAATGCTTATTGATGAGCAGCCTTTCCCAATAGCAAACATCTCCCATATTTACTTGTCTCACTAGACATTATTAGATGATAAGGGCAGATGGAGCTCTTTTACTGCACACATCTTGCCTTTTGTCTGATGAGGTTTGCACTTATACCCAAACCCAGTTTATTCCCTTGATGGACCCCTGGAGTGAGTCTGTTTCAACCCTATCTTTGTATTTCTCTGCATTTGCTTGGGAGGGCACTTAGTTGAAGTCAGCTGAAGTACACACATGGTGGTGCACTGCCCTTATTACTGAGCCTGAAATGTGCATGCACTGGGTTCTCCAGCCTGAGATGTGGCTGGGAAGGAATGAAAGAGAAGTGAGGCACTTAAGGCGGGTCATTTAGACTTCCCAACATCAAACTTCACTACCATTGATGCCATCATTCAAACAAACATTCTAATTTGTAGTTTGTGAAAACTTCTGGAAAATGGATCACAACCCCAGGTTACCCGAGGTGCTGCAGTTGCAAATTTCAATAGCTCTAAAACTTTATAGATTTTGTCAAAATGAAATAGAACGTTGAAAGACTTCAAAATAGTTGTCAAAAACAGTCACCCTCTTCAAATGCACTCAGCAGGAGGCTGCTCTTGTGAATGCCTCAGCACTCACTACAAGTAATATCTCAGTAAACCCCTCCACCACCACTACAGGAAGAAGCCAGTAGCAGCTCAGCAGCTCCTACTCTGCTTTCAGGCACAGGAGGGGGTGTTACTGCTGCCTTGAATGAAGCTTGGAAAGCCAGTCTAAGCCTGGGCTGAGTGCCTTCATCTTCACACTGTAGCTCAGGGTACATCCAGAACAACTTCTCTGTGCATTAGGCCTCTCCACTACTAGTAGGCAGGTCTACTGACCAGCTGGCCAGTGCACTGCTTCAGCCTCTACTGAGCCCTGCTCTGGGTCAGGCTCTGTGCATATAGTTGAGATCTAGAGACAAAGAAAACACCATCTATGCTCTCATGAGGCCTACTGTCTGGGGTATAGGAAACACACATGGGCATTTATTTTCAGTAGACTGTGACGTGATTTCCTGGAGATAAATTATAGATCAGCTGACCCAAGGTGGGTGTCACAGATGCCATCTCAGCAGCCCTGTGTACTCTCAGCTCCCAGAAGCTGTATCCCGAACTCTGTGCCACCCATTGCAGATTAGCTAATCCAATGTCCAACCCCCTTTTCCTTGGCACTTCTTACTGGAGAAACTTGGAGGGCTTCTACTTGCCTGTCCGGCCTCTCTTGTCACTGGCCAATGAGACAAAAGCAAAATCTACAGCACAGCTTCTGAAACAGTGCTATGCTCTACTAGACAGCCAGTCCAGTAGAGCTTCTTGCTCCTTTGGCTTGCACTGATTGAGGTCAGATGGCTGTAGCTGCAGCAGTGATCTTGTGACTGTGAGGCAAAAGTTCAGAGCTTGCAGCCCAAGATGCAGTCCATCAGCTGTCTACTAGATTTTTTCTTATGTGAGAAAGAAATGGACTCTGTTTAAGCCATGCAGTTATACTTCTGGGATGTAAAGCCTAATGCATCGCTAACTGATACAGAACCTAGCAGGTAGTCAATAAATAGTGATTGAAATCATAAGTAATATGATCATCTGAGTTAAATCTTAACAGATTGGGATGTTCTGGTTGAGGGAAACTAAAGTAGCACTGCATAAGCTTGAAGCAGGAGGCCAAGGATTGCTCACAGAGAATGCACTGACAAGTATTCATTGTTGCTAGTGTATCAAGTAGGAGGCAGAAAGTGACTGGAGACAAGCTTGGAAAATAGACAGTGGGGGCCAGGTTAAACTTTCCTTTTAAACCAGGTGTGGTGGTACACTCTGGAAGGGTAAGGGAGGAGGATCACAAGTTCAAGCCCAGCCTAGATAATTTAGCAACTGAGTGAGACCCTGTCTCAATATAGATAAAATAAAATTTAAAAAACGACGAAAAACAGGGCTGAGGATATAGTATAGTACAAAGGCCCTAGGTTCAGGACCATCTTAGATACAGAGAGGGTCCCTGGGCCCAGTGACTGAGAACTCTCCCTGTTAGCCCCAAACTACACAATAACAGCCAAGACCACCATGACAAGAGGTGTAAGAAAGGGAATGAAAGCATTCCTCCTGTTGGCCACAGTTGTAGTTATCTGTTGCTGTGTGACAAGTTACAAATTGTAGCAGCTTAAAGCAACACACTTATTTATTACTTGTATCTTCTATCTCAGCTTATTACTTCACAATTTCTGTGGGTCAGGAATCCAGATATAGCTAAATGTCTCTTCTGGCTCATTCTCTCACCTAGCTGTGACCAGTGCTCACAGGGCCGCTGCCTCAACCAAAGACATCACCTCAGGAAGATCTGCTTCCACGCTCAATGCACAGTTGTCAGCCAGTTGAGGGCCTCCTGGCTTTGGCCAGCAAGGCCTCCCTCTGTCCCCTGCCCCATGTGCCTCTCCCAGAGCAGCTCACAGCATGGCAGCTGGTTACATTAGCGTGAGCCCAGGTTTGTGTAGTCTTGTCTCAGTGGTGACATCCCGACACTTTGTGTTTATTAGAAGCAGGTTAATGGGTGAAGTCCAAACTGAAGGGGAAGGATTACAGTTGACTACTAGATGGCAGTGGTCACTGGAAGCCATTTTAAAGCTACGTACCACATGTGCACTGCCATCTCTTTCTCCCTTGTCAGCGTCAGTTTGCAGATGAGGAAACTAGGCTCAGAGAAGGGTTATAACTTGCCCTAGGTATCACAGCCATCGAGGACAAAACCAGGAGTCAGTGGCTGGTCCCCAGTGCAGCTCTTCCCCACCACCTCCAGAGGGTGTGCTGGAGGCAGGAGAGCCTCACAGGGGCTGCACACCACAGTGAGAGTGGGAGGTTGAAGGTGGGCTCTGCCTCCTGAGTGCTCTGATCCCAGGTGAAGGACAGTGGATGAAATCAAATAAGGTCTTTAGATAATAGTCCTGTAACTGTTAATTTCCTGATTCTAATCATTGTTGTGTAGTTGTGTAAGAAAATGTCTTTTTTCTTAGGAAACACATGCTGAAGTATTTAGAGGTAAAGTGGTATCATGTTTACAACTTAATTTCAAACATTTAAGGGAAAATTACCTGTAGGCATTTATAGGGGTGTATATGTGCATGTGTGTGTATGTGTAGGAAAAATGATAAACAGTCAAGTAAGTGTGGTTAAATGTTCACATTTGTAGAATATGTGTAGAGTATATAGTAATTCCTTGTATACACTTTTTGCAACTTTTTTTTTTTGGTACTGGGGATCGAACTCAGGTCCTTGTGCTTGCGAGGCAGGCAGCGAAACCACTGAGCTAAATCCCCAGCCCTGGCAACTTTTTTATGTGCGTAAAATTATTTCAAAATTAAAAATTTTTCAAAAATGCCACTCCACTCTGAGACCCTGGAGAGTTCTATTTGGAGCATGAGTGGTGACAAGATGGGAATCTTGCCAATTCCTTTCAACTCCAAGCTGACCCATTAGCACCCAGAAGTGTGTGGGGGTTAAGAGCAGAACATGGGCTCTGAGGTCTGCTGAGTTCCAGTCCTGGCCCAGAAGGTTCTAAGGCCACGACTTGGGGTTGTTGAAAAGATTTGGCAAAAGAGAGCCTATACCTAGACACAGCGCTTAGTGTAGTCCCAGCCCCACACAGTGGACTTCCCAGCAACGCTATTATTCCTGTTGCCTCTACAGTCATCTCCCAAGTGAGGCATAGTGAGCAACCAGGGTGTGGTTTAGAGACACTAATCTGAACAGCTGTCTCAGAGCCAGCTCCCTGACATGAGTTTTTCTCCTCACAGAGGCAGGGTGGCCACTGCAGGGGATGTGGATGTGCCTGACAAGATGAAGAACAGGATCCCTGTGGTGCTTCTGGCCTGTGGCTCCTTCAACCCCATCACCAACATGCACCTGCGCTTGTTTGAGGTGGCAAGAGACCACCTGCACCAAACAGGTCAGTCAGGGGCCCTGAGGCCAACAGACCTGGTGGGTGGGCCTCATGGGGCTGTGCTGCCCGCTGTTCTCACCACTAGCAGTAAAACTGTTCACCTGACTCATTTACCCTCTGTCATGTGCAGAGGGTTGATTGTGTGACACCTACGAGTCACATCCCTGGCCACAGATTCCCCTTCTCCCTGCCCACCTCACATTGTCTGTGAAGACTGAAAATACACCAGGCCCTTTATGGAGCCTGCCTCAGTCAGGCCTCTTGCACTCCAAGCATTTACCCCCACAGCCAGGTGAGTAGGTAGCACTTACCTCTGAATGCTCTGCTCCTACTCTTGTTCCTCAGAAGCAAGCGTTGGATGATAGTGATTTTTGACATTTTCACCTTTTGAAGAATAGATCTCAGACTGTTATAAATTAATAATCTTGTATATGGGGCATTTATAATACAGATGGCAGGACTTCATCAGAAATATTTAATCAGCTGGAAATATACAATCGGTCAATGTTTCATTACCTTGACTTTCTGTTTCACTATTAAGGGAGTAAAACAGTATTTAGAACCTGTATGATTATTTCTAAAGAATGTAAGTTATTTAAACTGTATGTTGATGTCAAATATTTATGAAAATTTTTCCTTAGTATGGATTTATGTATTCATGAATATATTTTATATAATTCAAAAATTTTTGCCATTAATGGCATTTTTACATCAGAATCAATTTCTGTTTACATTTAATAGAGAAAGAAGGATTTCAGTACATGTAAATCATTCCCTCAGAGAAGTCACATACATGTGTTAGTATATTTTAAAGAAAATGCATTTGTTTGTAAAACTTTTTAATTATTGAAAAAGTGAAAGTGGATGTCTATTCTTCATAAATAGCTTCTTACAAGAGAATTTTTAAAAATCCAAACAATACAGTTAAAACTGTTCAATGGATAATAGTAGGCAATATGCCAAAGAAGAAATATAGTCAATAAACTTGGAGACAGATACCCACATCCATGGCAATCAATGACAATGTAAATAAAAACATGACAGATATGACAAGGTGATAAACACCATGAAGGCAGTTACTGTAGCTGCCTGAACACCACAGAATTGCCACCATCTGTTACTGGCTGATAATTGGTCCCCAATAAACATCAGTTACAGGACTCAGTAGTGTTAGCCTATGAGATTGGCAGAATTTAAAGACCGACAGACGTCAGTGCTGTTAGAATATGGAGGGAGCCAGCCACTCTCACCTACTGGTGGTGATAAGATAAATGATGAAACACTTTTGGAAGGCAGTTTGATTCTGTATGACAAAAGGTTTTGAATCTGTAGCCACACTCATAATGAGGAGAAAAATCAATCAACAGAAACCAGACCAGAACTGACAAAGGATGACACAGATGTTAGAATCAGGAAAGCCATGAATACTTACAGTTATGCACCATACGTTCAAAAAGTTAAGTAGAGACATGGAAAGCTTAAAAAGGGCCCAAATCAAACCTCTAGAGATGGAAACTGTAATGTGTGAGATGAAAAATATACTGGGCAGGATTGACAACAGATTGGGCATTACAGGAGAAAAAATTAGTGAACATGAGGATAAGACAAAGGAGCTATCCAAAACGGAACACAGAAAAATTTAAACAGAAAGAATATTGGTGATATGTGTTAACTTCAGACAGTGTTATACATACATCAGTGAAATCTCAGCAGGAAAAACAAAAGGAGAGTGAAATATTTTTTCAAAGAAATAATAATTGAAATCTTTCCCAAGTTGATGAAAATGACCCACTGATCCAAGTAGCTCAACAAACTTGGACCACAAGAAGCATGAAGGAAACAACATCAAGGCATGTGGTAATCACATTTCTCAAAACCTACAATAAGACAAAATCTTAAAACCAACCACCAAAAATAAATGTAAGAATGACAACAGATTTCTGGTTCCTGCCTTCACCAAAAGAGATCTCAGCAAAATAACATCTTTAAGGAACTTAAAGAAAAAACTAGTTGACCTAGAATCTATATTCATTCTATAGATAAACATCTTTTATCTAGTAAAATATCTTCAGTAAAAAAGTTTTTCAAAAACAAAAGCAAAGAAAATAGAGGGTAATTTTAGAATATACATTTGATTGTGTTTGAATTATGAAATTTTCTTCAGATATGATAAACCATGACTCTTTGGCTGCTCAACATTTTAAAAAGCAAAATATTTTTACATAAACAAGAGCTGAATGAACTCACCATCAGTAAATCTGCACTCAAAAAAAAAAAAAAAAACTAATTCAGGCAGAAGGAAAATGATGCCAAATAAAAATTTGGATCAACACACAAGGGGATTCAGACCACTGGAAATGGTAACTACATGGGGTATAATAGAATATTATAAAAGCTCTTTCTTTATTATTTAAATTTATTTAAAAGATAATTGACAGTAAGTAAGAATTATACTGTGGGATTGTAGCATAATGGAAGTAAAATACATGAAAGAATAGCATATAAGCTTGGAGGGTGAATGGAATTATATAAAATATCTCACTTGAAGGTAAACTGTGATAAATAAGTTAAAAGATATATATTATAAACCCTAAAACAAAAAAGCAAACACAGTTAATAAGTATACAAGAGAAATAAAATAGATTCAGAATATACTCAGTTAAGGCAAAAGAATAAAGGGGGAACAAAAAATAGATGGGATAGAGAGCAAATAAGATGAGAGGCTAAATAATTAGCCTCTGTTAATAACTGTTAATAATCACATTAACTACAAAGAGTCTGATGGCTTCCAATAAGGGGAGGATTGTCAGACTGGATGAAGTGAGCAAGTCTGGGCCATGCACAGTAGTCTTCTCGTCTAAGAGGAATATGTTTCAAGGCTGCCAATGGATGCCTGAAACTGCAGGGAGAACCAACCTCTGTACCGTGTTCTTTCCTATACAGACACACCTATGATAAAGATTCATTTATAAGTGAAGCATAGGAAGAGATTAACAACTCATGAAAAGTGAGACAATTACAATACACTATAATAAAAGTTATTTAAGATTTATGAATTGTTTTCTTTTTTCAATTTTCCATTTAACATCTTCAGTTCACAGTTGACCTCCGGTAACTGAAACTGTGGAAAGCAAAATTACAGATAAGGAGGGACTGTGTATGAGAAGGATGCTTTAAATAGAAAAACACAAGTAGGCTAAAGAAAAAGAATAGAAAAACGCACCCATGCTAACACTAATTAAAAGAAAGCTTGAGTGTCTTATTAGAGAAAGTAGATTTGGAGGAAAGAACTTTCCCAGGGATGAGAAGGTCATTTCATAATTATAAATTTATGAACCTAGATTCAGAAATCTTAAACAAAATATTTCAAAACGAATCCAACAATGCATATAAAAATAATATTTCATCACCAGGTAATATCATCTTAGATATGTGAGGGTAGCTTGCTACTGAAAAATTAATCAATATAATTCAATATATTAACAAACTAAAAAAGAAAAACCGCTATAGTTATCTCAGTATACATAGGAAAGACAGTAGTCAAAAGCCAACATCAATCCATAATTTTTTTAAAAACTCAGCAAGATAGCAATAGAAAAAAATTCTTTAATGGAAGAAAAATCTTACTAATTTTGAAAGACTTCATATTTTACTTCCTGAGACCAGGAGCAAAATAAGAATGTCTGCTCTTGCCTGGCGTGCTGCACAGCCCTGTAATCCCAGCACAGAGGATCGGGAGGGTAAGGCAGGAGGATCATCATGAGTTCTAGGGCAGCCTGGGCCACAGAGTGATCAGGCCATCCTGAACTATAGAGTGAGACCTTGTCTAAAATAAAGAGCATATCCTTATTATTTTTGCTCAGCATCATTTTGGAAGTTCTAGCCAAAACAGTATGGCAGGAAAAAGAAATAAAAGCCATCAGATTGGATGGAAAAATGAAAGTCTACTTGCAGATGACATAATCATCTATACAGAAAATTCACAACAATTTTTTTTTAAAAAAACGCTTCTAAAATTAATAGGTATGAGCTGGATACACAATATATAAAATTCAGTTGTATTTCTACATATTAGCAGCACAGTGTTATAAATTGAAATTTTAAATAATGCCACTCAAATAGCGTTTAAAAATAAATAACAGGAATAAGTCTGACAGAGGTGTTCAGGACTCTATAATAAAAACTATGAAACATTCCTGAGAGAAATTTAAAACATCCTAATTAAAATGGAGAGATATACTTTGTTGGTGGGTTGGAAGACTCAATAATATTAAGATTTAATTTCTCTCCAGATATACTGTTAGAATCAATATAATCTCAAATGGCTTTTTGGTAGAGATTGATAAGCTAGCTCTGTGACACAGAAAGGCAGTAAGACTAGAATAGCTAAAATAACTTTGGAAAAGCACAATATTTGAGTGTTAATACTGACTTCAAAACTAATTGTAAACATACACCACTCAAGACAGCATTGCAATAGTGTAAAGATAAGTACACTAATGGAACAGAACAGAAAGTACCAAATTGGACCCTCACTTATACAGACAACTAATTGATGCAAAAGCAACACAGTAAAGAAACGATAGTCTTTTCAACAAATAACACTGGAATAACTAGATATTCATACACAAAAAAAATTCAATCCATAGATAAAATGACATCATACATAATAATTAACTCAAAATGGATCATATACCTTAGTGTAAAACCTAAAAGTATAACACTTATAGAAGAAAATGTGACCTTAGGTTAAGTAAATATTTCTTAGATAAAATAGCAAAAGCATGATCCAAAATGGAAAACAACTAGTAAACTGGGCTTCATCAAAATTAAATGATGCTAGGGGCTGGGGATTTAGCTCAGTGGTTCCCTCACCTGGCTTGCAAGTGCAAGGTCCCGAGTTTGATCCCCAGTACCAAAAAAAATAAAAAAGATTAAATAATGCTCTTCAAAGACAGAGCTAAGAGACTGAAAAGACAAACCACAGACTGGAAGAAAAGATTTTC